GACAGTCTCAGCTGGAGGGGATTCTGAGCTCGTGTAGTCCCATGCCTCATTTTACAGATGAGGAAACTGGCTCAGAGGGGCCAGGGAAGTTTCTAAAACCACACAGCAGGGTGGAGGTTGGGCTCAAACCAGCATCCAGGGCTCTGGTCTGGGTCTTTGGTTATGGTACCCAGCCAGCATTCCCATTGAAGTTTCTGTGATGGTGAGTGTGGCCAGATCAGGCTCCTGACAAATTCTTAATCTCCATCCCGAACTCCTGGATACCACTGGCCACTCGTTCAACTCCTGGCCAGGTTCTCTAACTTGGAGGCAGTAGTGAGCAACTGGTATCTGCTGTGTCGGCAGTTAACAGTTGGTGGAACAGTTGTCTGAATGCAAATCGACATCTGGAACTTCCTGAAGAGAGTGAAAGATCTGATAACCCCTGAGCATGTATGAGTGTGCCAGGGGTTATCAGGTGACAGGGAGCTAAATAGTGTGTCCCTCGGTGCGTTTGTAGGGGTACACATCGGGCCGCCATCTGCATCACTTCAAAACCACCAGCAGCTCCACAAGTCTCAGAAACCCACAGGGGTGACTGAGTCAGCATTGACTGGATGGCAGTGAATTTCACTTAGGGTGAATAATACTAACTTTCTGTTTACAGCAATGTCATGAACTTCCCCTTGAAATGTGTTGAAGCTGAAAAGTTGACAGATTTAAACAAAGTAGGTGCATTCTAACCTGGCAGAAGGGAGAACACCAAACATTGGAGTGAAAAAGACACGTGGCCAGGTGGCCTTTCCAAAAGGTCCTTGCCGGTGGTAACCTTTGACCGTTGCAGGGCTGTATTGATAGTCGGGTGTCTCCCCGTCAGGAGCGCCTGGCCCGACAGATACAACCCCCACTTGGGAGGCTTCTCTAGCTAGAGCCCAACCTGGATGGTCTGTGTTACTGAGCAAATTCTTCCCACCCGGGCTAGTTCGCTTAGGGGCCTGTTAAGGCAAGTGAGCCAGGGTCCCAGTTTCTGAGTCTGCTCGGTTTGTGCAGTTTGGGTATTTGTGGTTTATCGGGGCTGTGTTTCGCTGGGAATTTCTGGTCTCTGCTCCAGTGAGTGGCCTGCCACTCTTGCCCTCTGCAGCCTCTGGGAAGTCCACCCAAGGCTTTGGTCGTGGTATGGAGTGGAGAGGTGGCTGGTTATGACCAGCATGGAAACTGGGAGGAGGGGGCTACAGAAACAGGCAATAAAGGGCAGTCTGCCTTTTAGGACTTCTTGAAGATTTCTGGGGAGACTCTTCACCTCAAAGCTTTGCTGGCAGCCAAGGATGGCGAGCAAGGGGCCCTCGGCCTCCACGCCCCCCGAGAACTCCAGTGCAGGAGGACCCAGCGGGAGCAGCAATGGTGCTGGCGAGAGTGGAGGACAGGATAGCACCTTCGAGTGCAACATCTGCCTGGACACAGCCAAGGACGCTGTCATCAGCCTGTGCGGTCACCTCTTCTGGTCAGTACCCCTGCCACTGGCCCAGAGAACGTTCTGCTAGCTTTAGAAAGTTCAAGCCCTGAGCAGCTCTGATCAGAAGGCGTATGTTCACTTTTAGTTCAAATGTCTTCAGGCCCAAGAAGCAGGTCACCTAATTCTGGGTGAGCTGAGCACATTATGTCCCCACCCCCGGACTCCATATCCCTATCTCTAAAGCGCTGACTTCCTGTAGCCTCCTGGCTTTGCTGAGCCAGGAAATGGGATATAGTAGCTGTGAGTGGGCACTGGAGGCAGGCTGTCTCCTTGTGAGCCCGAAGTCTGCCCGTTCTTGACTGGGAGGTCTTGGCAAGATGCTTCATACCCCATGCCTCATTCCCAGCTGGAGTCATGAGCAATAAGTGACTGGGTATGTACAAGAGTAACTGCTGTGTTCACAGTGACCATGATTGCTACTAGATTCCACTTATGTCCAAATGAAAGGACACACTCGTGTCCCAGCCAGGATCAATGGTTACACATGACTCCTGGCTCTGAGAATCTGGGTAAATGGTTAAATTTCATGTTTCCTCTTGAGATTTTGAGCTGGTTTTCAAGGGTGGATTTGGTTAAAGAGGGGAGAGAGGCGAATGGTGTGTATGACCCCGGGACGCAGGGAGTTTAACTTGGCAACAGTGTAAAAGATAAATTTATTAATATGTGAATAGAAGGAGGCAGAGTTTTGCCTAATAATTATTTTTGTGTGTATTTGTGTTTTAACTTTATAGTTTGACTTGCGTGCAAGTTTATAGAGCAAATTGGCTTTCCACTCAACAGTTCATACCCCTTTTGACTGGTCACATCGGTTGCAGTCCCCACGAGCAGCCCTTTCCCACTTCCTTCCTGTGTGTCCTGTTGCTGTTCCTCCTCCTTTCCTGCCCCTTCCTACTTGCTGAGCTGTGCACCTGGCGAAGTGCTGCAGGAGTGCAGACCTGCCTGGCGTTACTGTTCACCTTAGCAGGCATCGGGCTGAGCTCACTTCCAGGCCTGAAGAGGAACTCTGTCAGACAAATGAGTCTGGTCTTTTTCCCCGTGATTTTGAGTTTTGTTCCACGTTTTCTCCCCCTCGACCCAGGACCCTCTATTGTGATCCTTTTCAAGGCAGTTGGTAGTGGTACGCCAGGCGCCATGTATTTTGTGGCCTCTGGGACATGGAGGTTGAGGTTCATGTGGTCCCTTAGTCCTCTGAACTGACTGTTTCCATGGATCTCCCATTGTCTTCACTCGTCTTTGCTTTGGGCTGGGAGAGTTGCTAGTAATTAATTTGCATGCAGAGACTGTTCGATCGACCTGTCTCAGAATCTGGAGCTCCTGAGATGGCATAAAGTCAGTACTTGGAATAAGTGACAAAGAACAAAGACAGGCAGGAACAGAGACTCCAAAAGGAAACCGGCACTTCCGGTCCTTGAGCCAATCTGCTGGCCTCTCTCCACCAGCTTCCTCGTCAATAAAATGGAGAGGATTGGACCCCTCTGGGTTAATGTGACCATTCAGTGGCATTAGCAAACAAAAAGCTATTGCGCCACAGGTTGGCCCATGTGAGGTGCTCAGTAAATGGGAGAAATCGCCACTGTTGTTATAACCCAGAGAGTTCCATGAGCATCTTACTGTCACCTCCACTTGGTGGACAGCCTGTGGGGGAATTTGCCAGTGGACACCTCCCATGGTTTCGGGTGCGCTCAGCTCATCTTACAATGGCGGTGAAAGTTTAATGTTGGAGCCAGATGTGAGGCGCCTGTTCTGTCCAAGGAAACTGTATCTGATTTGTGACGCTCAGCTTCTATGGAAAGGAAGCATCCTCTGAGTCTAAATTTCACTCAGCTCCAAAAGATGTATGTTGTGAGAGGGTACAGAAGCCATGCTACATCTTCCAGTGCCCTAGATGAGTAATTACACATCTTTCCAATCTGTGTCATTTGTTGGATGCAGTGCTGGGTGATAGAAAGTGAACTAACTGGAAGCTAAAAATACTGAGAAAATGGGTAGCATTTTCTGTGGTGTAAACTCAACCAAAGTTGGCCAAGTAGCACCCCCATCATTGCCATGACTTAAGGACAGCCCTTTTTCTCCAGGCTGAGGGCAGTGGAACTGGACAGCCTGCTCGGCCACATCCTCTGTGAGCCCGAGGAGGGGTGCGGCTCCAGGGGCCCGAGAGTAAAGTGGCACGTGCACGCCTGAGAACACCCCCGCCCGCGCGTGTTTCCTGTACGGAGGGTCCCTAGTTTTACGGCATTCCTTCAGAGGCTATAATCCTCCCCGCAGCCGGATCTGAGATGGTGGTCTAGGGGTCCCTGGTATAGTGGGATCCCAGGGATGGAGACTGGAATCTTGGCTCCATTGCCTTACTTTATCTGTGATTTCTGTTCAGTTTTGCTTTTCACACTTGTAATTTCTGACACCCCAGTATTCCCAAGAGCCTTCGTGAGGGGGCTCCAGGAGAGGGACTGACTCCCCAAGGTGGGTCTACAGTACTCCACAGTTTCACCCTGTTGCCCATTTGGCTGCCCTGACCGTATCACCATCAGTGTTTCTGCTAACAAAAGCACTTTTCTTTTCCCCCCTCTTTCTCCTGGATGACTGGTTGCCCTGGGGACTCTTGACAGTTGGCCATGTTTACATCAGGTAAGATGGATTTTATTTTACTTTGTCTTTCATCAGCTAGGGTTGCACAATTCACCCTGAGTCTCAGGAGGCTGCTGTCAGAAGCTGCAATCTCCCTTGCTTGTGGGCTCATTTGCTTGCTTACCCTTCCACCCTCGTTACACATCTGCCACTGACAGGCACTTGATGAAAGACGGGGGCCAACGTGTTATCCTAGAGCAGTGGTTCTCAACCTTCCTGGTGCGCGACCCCTTCATACAGTTCCTCATGTGGTGGTGACCCCCCTACCATACAGTTATTTTCGTTGCTATTTCATAACTAATTTTGCTACTGTTATAAATTGGGCAACCCCGTGAAAGAGTTGTTCAGCCCCCAAAGGGGTCACGACCTACAGGTTGAGAACCACTGTCCTAGAGAGTCCTGACACTGCCTCCTGTGTGGCTTTGCAAGCCACCACCTCTAGGTCTCAGTTCCTTATTTGTAAATTGTTTTGGGTTTGATGCTATTTTAGGTCCTTTCTGTTTGTGAGGTTTTGCCTCCCTAAAAACCATCTAGTATCATCTCGTACCCCTTAAAGATTTTTAAAATGTTAGGAGAGAGACATTTTGGTGTTAATTTAAATTTTGGGGGGGTAAAGCAAGTCTGTTTTCCCAGTTTAGATCACTATGCAGTCCAGTTTTGTTGTTTTCCTCCAAGAACCAGACACCTGCTTGGTGATACCCAACTGGGCCTGGCTGGAGCCAGCAGCAGAGGCGCACACTGGAGTGGCTTGGGAGGCGTGTTAGGGAAGACAGTGGTTCTGGACCTCTAGAGTCTCAGCATCGAGTTGAGAAAGAAGGGCAACAGGGAGGCCCTTCTGTGCATTCCAGGGCTGCACGTTTCGGCCCAAACAGAGCCCGAGGGCCTGGTGGAACTGTGAGGTTATGAAGCACATGCCAGCCTGGAGGTTATGAAGTACACATAGCACGTAGATTTTGGGCACATCAATTATAAGACAGAACAAGTGGGGAGTATAAAACCACTGTATCTTGCCAACTCCCTTCTGAAGTTCTAGATTCATGCTTATAAGCCTCAGATCACTGAATCTAAAGGTGTAATTTATGTTCTAAGATAAATGTTGACACATACATTTATTTGGACTCCCTGGTGGTACATTTAAGCACTTGACTACTATCTAAAAGGCTGGTGGTTCGAACCCACCCAGAGGTGCCTTGGGAGGCAGGCCAGGCCATCTGATTTGAAAACTGTGCATCAGTTCTGTTCTGTATTCCTGGGGTTGACATGAGCCAGGCAGTGTCTAACATCAACAGCATGCTTATGTGTTGCATTACTAGGTGCTGTCAGTTTGATGTGATTCACAACAACCTATGTCCAACAGAATGAGCTGTGGCCAGGTCCTGTGTCATCCTCACAGTTGCTCTTGTGTTTGAACACGTGTTAAAGCCACCATGTCAAGCCATCTTGTTGAGGTGTTCTTCTTTTTCACGGATCCCTCTACTTTACCAAGTGTGATGTCCTTCTCCAGGGACTTGTCATGTCTATCTAAATAAAGAGAGACAGAGATACATAGATATAACACGCCCCTGGAGAATAGATATAACATAAATAATTATTCCCTGTCTATGAAGACATACTTTGTTGTTAGGTGCCATTGAGTTGATTGGGACTCATAACAAAGCACACTGCCCTATAGTGGTTCCTGGTTGTGACAAAGCACACTGCCCTAAAGTGTTTCCTGGTTGGTAATCTTAAATGGCAAATAGCCATTTCTTTGTCTTGTGTAGCTAGTGCGTGTGCACAACCCTTTTTGTTAGCAGTTGAGTGCTTTCCCATTAACACTGGTAAAGCGGGGCAAAAGCGGGACACCATCAATAAAACTCATATCCTGACGAAATAGCCACATGGCAGCTGAAAACCATCTACCCTAGCTTGTTGTGCATTCTTTCCAAAAATCGGGACTTTTTTAAAGCGCCGTGGACGTGGGAAAAATTGTTAGAAATCAGACGTCTGGTCACCTTACTTTAGGGCACTTTTATAAAGCCATTGTAGATGATAAATGTTACTGTTTTTGTTTTTAAGAAATTTAAAATGTTATAAAAGTAACTAGTGGAAGGACTTAGAAAACCCAGCACAGGACTCTGGGGTTTTTAGTATATATTTTGGGGGGATGGTTTTGATATCGAAAGAAAGAGTTAAGTGCAAAAATCAGTGAAAGTACATAAAAAACCAGCAAGCGTAAGAGGATGACCAAGGTTTATCCTTTAGTACCTAGTAAATCTCCAGTGAGATCACAGGAAGGAGAAAATGACTACTCAGATAGCACAGTGGGTCCATTGGCAAAGGTAGGGATTTCAAGTTCATTGTGCCTGCGTTAGCATCCTACATAGACCCAGGCCAGGGCTTTCAGAGCCCTGCTATTGCTTCAGGGCTGTGTTCTTCTGCTACATTGTGGGGCGCCCCTAGGGAGAAACAAAGCTTGGGGAAGGCTGTTTAATTGTGGTGGTATTTAAAGGCAATTTTGATTTCCGTACTTGTAAATAGTGAGTGCTAGGAGTGGGAATTGTAGAGAAGCGCTTCGTTGAGGTATTCCGGTCCTGATGGTGTTTGTTAGTTTGAGTCCCTGGCCCTCTTCTCACCAGCTGTGTTCACCTAGCCTTCATCTCATTGACCTTGTGCCGTTCATGTGTATTATTACTCTTTTGCTTGCAGTGGTTGGAGACCAGACCTAACCGACAGGTGTGCCCGGTTTGCAAGGCCGGCATCAGTCGAGACAAGGTCATCCCACTCTACGGCCGGGGCAGCACTGGGCAGCAAGACCCCAGGTGAGGGCTGGGAGCACCTTTCACACTCACTCCTCCCCTTGGACATGAATTCCCTTCTGCTGAATAACCTCTTCTACCAAACACTGAGTTCTGAGTCAGCCAGATGCCAGATGGGACTCTGCCGGGGTGGGGAGCCACTTTTTGGCCTGTAATAAATAGATAGCCACTGAGAATGCCCTGGGGGCAGGCACTCTGCTGGCCCTGTTTGCCAGCCATGCAAAAGACCTCACAGTTGTTAGTGGGCAAAGAAAGTGCCGTGAAGGGCAGCCTGGCAAACAGCATATCCGGGGAGCAGGAGAGTCCAGGGAGCAGGATTGCTGCACCGGTGAAGGAGGTATACAAAATGCCAGCAGAAGGGCTAGAGCAGCGGTTCTCAACCTGTGGGTCGTGACCCCTTTGGGGATCGAACGGCCCTTTCACAGGAGTCGCCCGATTCATAACAGTAGTGAAATGACAGTGATGAAGTAGCATTGAAAGTAATTTTATGGTTGGGGGTCACCACAACATGAGGAATTGTATTAAAAGGTTGTGGCATGAGGAAGGTTGAGAACCACTGGGCTGGGGCTTTGGGAGACATGGAAGCTTGGGATTTCTAGCAGTGGAGGTATGAGTGGATCGAGCCTTCTGTAAACACAAGTGCAGAGTATTTTTCATGGTTTGGTGCCCGCCAACCTCTCCAGCATCTTACCTTCCCCCACCTCATCCCAGCTTTTACCCCCTGTACCACCATGTTGGACTTCTTAGAGACACTTACCTTTCACACTGATGAGCCTTTGTATCTGCTTTTTCCTGTCTCTCCCATCTCCTCCTCTCTCCTCTCTCCTCTGCTTCAGTTGCTGTCACCTAGGTTCCCACCACACTGCTGTCATACCACGACTAAAGAAATCCTTCTCCACGCTGTACCATTTGCTGTATCCCCCTGAACCACGGACACCTCAAGAGTAGAGTCTGTGTGTATTGTCTTACTTGGCAGTGCACCAAGCCCCCAACCCAATATCTGTGGGATGCATGATGGGAGGCGTGTTTGTCCAAGTACCGCAGGAGGTAAAACTAAAGTTAGAGAAACCCTCAATCTCAGCCCTGCCCTCTATTTAGTTTGGATTTGGGGTGTCCGGCATCTTTGTCTATGTTTTCCTGTATCATACAGAACCAGAAAAGGTCTCCTTAGCCAACTGGGGTCAGGCTCTCTGGGAACAGCGTCAACTGCAGCACAGTCTGATAAACATTTCTTAACAAGCCGATTTTCTCTCCAATTGAGAAGAACACTTGCAGCCAGAACGAGAGTTAGCATCTGGTTTAATCCAACTTCAATTTGTATGGACAAAGTGCTGGCTAGGAACGGGCGGTGTGGCCAAAGAGAGACTAAGCTGGTGGTGAAAAACCCCCCAGTCCGTTCACGTAGCCGCTCAAAGCAGATTCAGTTAATCTTATTTTATGTCATTTCTGTTTCAGAGAGAAGACGCCTCCGCGTCCTCAGGGACAGAGGCCAGAGCCGGAGAACAGAGGGGTGAGGAACATTATAGGAGCAGCTTTTAGAAATGAGCCTACGGCTTTAGAAATTTCCTTCTAGATTGTACAGTTTTTCTCCCTGATTAGAAAAGTAAACCAGAATTTATAAAATACCGTAAGGAAAAGCAAGGGGTTGGGCAGAAATCACTTCTAATCACAGTCTCCAGAAATGGTTTGATCTAGTTTCTTCTTCTCCATTGGTCTATAATCATGATTCCCAAACCAAGCCCACTGCCATTGCCAAGTGACTTCCAATGCAGAGCAACTCTATAGGACAGAGTTCTCTGCCTCCGAGGGTTTCCAAGGCTGTCAACCTTTTCAGAAGCAGACTGCCACATCTTTTGTTCAGAGTGACTAGTGGGTTTGAACTGCCTACCTTTTGGTTCACCGACCATGAACCAAAACAGACTCATTGCCATCAAGTCAATACTGACTCCTAGTGAACCTGTCCGACAGGGTAGGACAGCCCTGTAGGTTTCTGAGACTGTAACTCTATGGGAGTAGAAAGTCCTGCCCCCCACCAGGCACCTTATAATTTGGGGTAGGCACATACAGATTTTATTATAGATCTATTTGTATGTTTCTAAGTAGTATTTGGCTCCTGCTTTTTTAACCCCTCTTAAAAATTACATTTTACTCCAAAAGTATGTATTCAGTGCCTTCTGCGTGCTGGGTGTTGCTCTAGCAGAGTCCTGTCCTCCTGCTGTTTCCATCCTCCAGGAGAAGACTTGGACCGATACACCTGAGATTTTACGTCTGTCGCTAATGCTGTTTAATGACTGTTTGGTGTTTGGTTATACAGACAATATAATTTATTTAATCCGTAGTTGGACACTTAGCTATTTTCTTTCTTAATATATAGATATAGATATTTGCTATTTCAAAGATGCTCGTGAACTTATAGATAAATCTTTAAACAGATCCATAATTATTTTATTAGGATAAATTAATAGAATTATAATGACTAGATCAGAAATTCCTTCCCTTACTATTAGGGTTCTTATTTGTTTCACCTCATTAATCACGTTAGATTTACTTATATTTATTTGTATATTTAAAATCGTGTGGTACATGAAAGTCAAGATAGATAACCCTTCAGAAATAGTTACAGAAGTAATGGTTTCCTATGGGTACAGGAAAGGAGGGGGACAGGGGAATAGGGAGCTGATAGCATTGCCGGTTTGCACAAGGCTGTGAATGACAGTGGGAACCCAAGATTCATTTGTGAGAACTACATAGGAAACAAGCCTCTGGTGAACTCCCTCTGTCCACAATTGACAGATGGGGGAAAGGGGTTACTAGACAGAGCACATTGGATAGATGAGGATAGAAGATCAGGGGCACAAATCTGGCTTGAAAAGTTGAAACTTTGTCAGTTGATTCCCCCTCTGATGCATGCTGGACCTGATCTAGTTTTCAACATTTTCTGTATTTTTGTTTGTTCCTATTTGAGTGTATTTCAGAGGTGTTATGTCATTGAAAGTCACACTCTTGAACTTGTGTTATATGTTGTTCTGTTTTTCGGTATATGCAATTCACAATTGATGAACCTATAGGAACAACAGGTAGAATATTTGGGCATGGTGGGGGAATGGGAAGACAGGGAGATGATGTCAAGGAGTCCAGAAAGAAAAGGAATGTTTGGAAATTGATTGTGGTAGCAATTGTTTAATATTACTTGATGTGATGTATGTGTTTTTAAAAAAATCGTTTTATTGGAGGCTTATAACATCCCATACATCAATGGTATCAAGCATATTTGTACATATGTTGCCATTATCATTTCTGAAACATTTTCTACTTGAGCCCTTAGTATAAACTCCTCTCTACTCCCACCCTCATGAATCCTTGATCAATTATATATTGTTATTATTATTGCTTATCGTATACTGTCCATTGTCTCCCTTCATCCACAGTTCTGTTACTCGTCCCCTTCGGGCTATATATTCAACCTTGTGATGGGTTCCCTCTTTCTCCCCCTTCCTCAACTGCCACCACCCCCCTCCCCCCATGATATCGCGACAATGATATATGTGTTAACTCCCAATTAATAATAAGTTTTTTAAAAAGAAAGAAAGACGGGAGCAGAGCCAACAAAGTACGTCTTTCCCTAGAGCTTATGATTGGAATTCGTACTTCTACCCTCCTAAACTGAGAAAGAATGAATTTCTGTTTTCGTTAAAGCCAAAAATAAATAAATACATAATGAGCATTTAAAAAATTGCACACTCAAATCTGACTTTAGTTTTAAAAGTAAAGTACTGACTGCCAAAATTCAGCTCTTCCATGTTCTCTTCATTTGGCATGCTTTACATACATATTTTTGGTGCAAGTAATCCCCTCATCATTGTGAGGTGATTTGAATGCAAGTCAAGTACCTCTTTTTTTAAAGCTTTAAAAAAATATCAATACCCCCCCCCAAAAAATTATCAATATCTTTATAAATACTACCTTTGTCTTTTGGTGTGGGAAACATTACATGTAAACTTACGTAGTTTAGCATTCATATTACTAACGATACAACGCTAAACCAAAAGACAGAAATGGTTCTGATTCCCGCTTGTCCTAACTTGACTCATTGTCAATCAGGGACCGCCAGCAGTCATCCCTGTTCTGTTGTGTGGCTTTTCAGCTTTGTGCTGTAAGTATTTCCCACGATGCTCTCTAGTGTCCTCGTGACCATGTGTAAAGGCTGCTGTTTGACCCATCAAGCAGCCAGCCCTGGGGGCACTGTTGGATAAGCATTGGCCTGCTTACACCTCGGCCGTTCCGGGGAGAAAGATCCGGCTGCCTGGGCCAGTAAAGAGACAGCCTGGGAAACCCTCCGAGGTCACTCTGAGTTGACTGGATGGCGGTGGGTTTTGAGTTGTTACTCATTCTGTTGAATTTGGATACATTTGTTTAGGTTTTCCTTATCAAAGAACTTTTCGGCTGCTTCCAATTTTTGCTGTTATAAGTAATGCTACAATGACATATTTGTATATATTACTTTTTTACTTAAAGTATGGCATTTCCTTAGGATTCCTAAGAATAAGATTATTGAATCAGGGATCTTGATAGAAATTGAGATTGTCTTCAGATTATCCTTAACAATAATCTCAGGGAACATTATTGAATGGCTAATATAAATGAGAACTACTGATTAAGAGCTTTATACGCATGAGCTCGTTAAACCTCACATTGACCTGTTAAAGGAAGAGGGAACTCAAGCAGTCTCAGAGAGGTGAAGGGATTTGGTCAAGGACACACAGGTCTGATCCTCGTGACAAGTCCCTGCTCCTGACTCCAGTGCAGCGCCACTTGAACCCTTTGCAGGCTGCGGCTTCCCTTGGGGCTTTTAGCTTCTGAGGTGCCAGGAAGCCCGAGGCCCCGGACTTGATGGTGGTCGCGCACAACTCTAGGGGGGCTAACACCCACTGCCCCCAGTGAGGCTGTTTATTAGGAACAAGAACCCACCGGGTATGAGAATGGGGACTGTCTGGAAAGGGAAGCCAGTGCTCAGGCTCCTGATGAAACAATTGCACCTTCCTGGGTAAGCGGCCTTGGTCCCAGGAGCCCTCCGCCTCCCTCGTGCCAGGTCTGAGCAAGAGGCATTTCTGCACTGAGAGAAGGAAGCCAGTTGCTTTCTCTCTAAGTTTGCCTTCTTCTAAAGTCAGCTGTTTAAAGCTTATCGGTAGTGCCACCCAGCAAGAAGGTTGAAGGTAGGCGTCAGGTTGCTCAGTGAGGGCCAGGGAGTGGCCACTTTTGTGTCTTGCATCAGATTCACAAATGCAGGTCACTCCGTCCTCTGTGAAGAGCAGTTGCTCAGTCATTTTTTTTCTTGTTCTTACTTTTTAATCCTTTTCTCTAAGGTTCTAGGCAGGGGGAAGAGGAATTTTGGGTACAGTGTGCACAGTAGTTAAGATCATGGGTTTAGATTAGATTGACCTAGTTTTCGATATAAACTCCACCCTAGCTATGCAAATGTAGTCAAGTTATTTCACTTCTCTGAGCCCCAGTTTTAGGAGCCTTGGTGGTGCAATCTAGTTAATGAGCTTGGCTGCTAACCAAAAGGTTGGCAGTTAGAACCCACCAGCCACTCCACAGGCGAGAGATGTGGCAATCTGCTTCTGTAAAAGTTACAGCCTCGGAAATCCTCCCGGGAAGTTTGGCCCTGTCCTACAGGGGAGCTGTGAGTCACTCAGAATCAGCTTGGCCCGCGGTAGGTGTCGGTGGGTGTGGTGTGGTGTGGTGTGGTGTGTGATTGGTAGGCCCAGTTTGGTGAGCTGTAAAATGCTTATGATGCAAATGTAGAAATTAAATGCTATTTGCATACCCTGGTGCTTAGCCTGGCACCTAGCACACAGTTGGTGCTTTCAACATGGCAATTGCTTTCTCACAACATTATTGATCCCTGCTGAGTCTTCTCACATGATCGCTGGTGCGGTGCTGAGAAGCAGAGATGAGGGCGAGGGGGATAGGCCAGGCTGCTGGCGGTGGTGGTTTAGAGGGCGGAGGGTGTCAGATGGCAAGTGAACAAGGAGAACCCCCAACTTTCTACCCCAGCCATTTCTGCCCTATTTGTAATCCGGGAGAAAATTAAAAGGTCAAGTGCCCTGTAAGCTTTCAAAATAATTTATAATCATATTACAAGACATTTTTGAGGGAGAAAAGCATGCATAGCTTATCTGCATATCTACATATTATGTATTTCTGATAGTGGTTCCATCTACTCCCTGATTGTCATGACTTGTGCCCATGGTAGCCACATGCCGACACTTTGTCATGCACTGTGACCATGGTGTGTCCACATACCGACATATTGTCATGACTTGGGAGTGTGGTGTTCAAACAATTTTGTCTGGGATCTTTGTGAAAGCAGTTTTTCTGTGCTCCTGCGTGGTTTGACCACACTGGTCCCGGGAGAGTGAAACATGCTGAGGGCACCAGGCCAGGCTGCTGACAGGTGGTTTTGAGGGGACGGTGTGAGGTGTGTGTGTGCGACTTTTTCTACCGCAGTCATTTCTCAAGATTTTGATCTGGACTTTCATTGTGTGCTAATGAGGGTTCTACTTTTTTGCTGTTACAGATACTATGTAGTTTGTTTTGAAATTCCCCTGTAATTGGGCTTTTTGCCAATTTTTTTTTGCTGATATAAAACATGTAGAAACCTTTGCTGGGTAGTGTGAGACACTGGGGGGGAAAACACCTCAAGATCTAAGAACCTTGCCATCTTGGGCTGGCTCTGACCCGCTTTGGCTCACCTACAGCTCTTGAGCTGTGACCTAGGGCTGAAAGGGCAGAGGGGGGGCCTCCAGCATTGTGCTTTGGGATCTTGGCTGGGGGTGCGGGCTATGTGTGTGGGGGGCTGGGGGCTGTGCCTCCAGGAAACCGCCGGCGGGGCAGGCAGGGCCCTGGGCGCAGTGCGGGGCGCAGTGCGGGTGCGTGTGAGCAGCAGCGCGGGAGGAGGCTGCGTGCTCCTCTCCTCACGTGCGTCTCTTCCCCACAGGGGTTTCCAGGCTTTGGATTTGGAGATGGGGGCTTCCAGATGTCTTTTGGAATCGGGGCGTTTCCCTTCGGGATATTCGCCACAGCGTTTAACATAAACGATGGGCGACCTCCTCCAGGTAAGGCTCTGTCTCCTGGAGGAACCAGGAGGGCTCCTCTCATGCTGCTTGAAGCCTCTTTGGGATTTGGTGTTATGTAAGTTAGAGATACTTGTCACTCGGCAGATAATCAGGCTTTCCTTCAACTGTGCTGAACTCTTCATGGGGCAGCTGAGGGAGCACCGCGCCGTTCACGGAGCGCTCTGGCAGCCATTTTATAGCTGGAAACTGCCCAGTCATGTGTGCCAAGGTGCCCCCCATGTCCATAAAATGGAAAATTATACATGCCACCCAGCTGGGGAACAGTTTAGTTCTTAGTCCTCTACACCCTCCTCTTCGCCTCTGCCCTTCCCCCTTGGGCATTTGGGGTATGGAGAGGCAAGACAATCTGTAAGGAGTCAGGACTTCTCCGGCGCCAGGTCCGAGCCTCAGTCAGGATCACCTCAGACTCAAACTCCCTACCTACCATGAGTCCATTCCAACTCCGAGGGCCGACAGGGTGGAGTAAAAGGCTTCCTGTTGGTTTCCGAGGCTGCAAATCTGTACGAAAACAGAAAGCCTCATCTATCTCCCAAGGAGCGACTAAGCGATTTGAACTGCCAACATTGCGGTTAGCAGCCCAACACCGAACCCGTTATGCCATAAGGGCCCCTTAAAGGCAGGACAGGGCCCTCTAAATGATAGCTGTTCTCAAAACAGAAGAGTAGAAACTCGAGTTTTTGCCCCAGTTCTGCCTCTAGCTTGATTGGAAAGACAAGGCCCTTGGCTTGTCTGAGCCACAGTTCTCTCCTCTCTTCTGGAAAAGGAGAGTGCTGCCTGCCTCAGAGAGCCCCCACCCACCCCACCCCCACCCCCAGCCCAACAGGGTCAGAACCTAGTCACTCTGTGACTTGGAGACCAAGTTGACCTGGGAGAGGCTGAGAGCACAGTTGTGGGGGCTCTGCTACAACCCTGTGATCACCCCATACTCCTGGCTCAGTATCCCATGTGCACAGTGGGAGTAATGCCCCATCAAGTAATGCGGTGTGCCAAGCACAACATAGATAATATAACAGTAGCTTTTCTTCAAGAGCTTTCAGTATTTGGATTTAGGAACATTTTTCAGTCTGCAGGATTCTGTTGTAAAGAGGTGAATGACCCCTTAGCCTTGACTTGACCCCCCTTTCTCTCTTCTTGCTCGCCAGCTGTCCCCGGGACTCCCCAGTACGTGGACGAACAGTTCCTGTCACGCCTCTTCCTGTTTGTGGCCCTGGTGATCATGTTCTGGCTCCTGATTGCCTAAGGCTGGGCTGCTGGCTTGTATCCACAGCTGGGCCTCTGAACTGGTGACACGCCATCCCTATTCTTGGTGTATGGCTTCCTTCCTAATCTGGACTCCTCAAATCCGTGGGGCCAGTAACACCTCAAGGAGTCTTGTTTCTCCTTCAGAGCTTTGGGACTCAGGACCAGTTGGTGACTGTGTCAACACCCTGCTATAGTCTCAGGCCTTGGCATTGGTTGGTCCGCTTGCACGGGTGACACCATGATTTCTTGAGCTGCCAGCTCAGCAGGCCCTGGCTCTGCACAGACAAGAGAGGACCATCCACCCGAGGCTGCTATTACAGAACAGAGGGTACTTAGGGAGACTGTCTTTCGTCTCTGTAAATACCCTGTGGTGAGTGGGCTCTGAAGCCAGTGGGACTCCACATCCCAGCGCTGCCTTGCCCTCTCCTCCCTCTTCAGCAGAATGGCAGGCATTTGCTCTCCCATAAAGTTCCTCATTGCCGCAGCCAAACTTGGAATTTGTCCCTGCACTTGGTGGATTCTCCAGAGACCTGAAAATCTCCTATTGGCTCTGGGCCTGCGCTCTGTGTCCGTGACCCCAGAGAGCAGCTGGTTTCCTGGTGTAGATTACCCCGTGAGACAAGTGGCTTCCCTCACAGATTTCCATCAGCTTCTCCCCAAAGCTGTGCACATGAGCCTCTGCCAGCAAGCGCGCCACTTGGGCCACTGCCGAAACCGAGACTGAGTGCTGTGCCAGGCGAGCGGGCACAAGCTCTAGCAGGATGTGTAGTGCTGATGCAGGAGCTGCTGATCCAGCCCTGAGCTCAGTGCCTCGCTCCCAAGACCCACCCACGGGACGTTAGGAGGGCCGCATCTCGTCCACCTGACTGCGTGTTGAAGACCACACTTCCAAGCCCTTTAGGATGAAGAGGCCCGATTGTGGAACAGCTTGATGAATTCCCCCTCAAACTCCTTGGGAAGCACGCATCCCCAGCACAGGCAGCCCTACCGATTGGTTGCCCGGAAATGGAGCCTGGGGAGCCTCTGATGACAATACGATGTGGTCTTCCTTCATTTGGAGTCCAGGGAAAATGATTCTTCTAAGGCCTTGATGTGCTTTTTAATTTCATAAGCTTCCTTCTCCCCCAAATTTGGCTGAGGGCATGTGGTGCGAAGCCAGGAGGACCTTTCACCTGGTGGAAGGACCACTGTCTGTGGGGGCATTGCTCTCTCTTTGCCAGCCCAGGCCATTCCTGCCTCACCCTAGCAGTAGCCAAAAGTGGCAGGAAGCCTCAGGATGGCACTGTATAATTCAGGGAGGAGCTTTCTCCCCACTCCACAGCCCACCCTCTCCCCATGCATCTATCAATACCACAATCCAGTGTTCAAACAGAATAAATGCAAGTATTGAGTAGGTGGTTCGATTGCCGAAACCATTATGTAGGAACAAGCTACCAGCTTTATTGGGTGCCTGACGGATTTTAAACATTCTCAGGGTACCTGCTTGAGTGCCCTTTTTATTACTTTCATTAGTCCCAAAGTTGAGAAGGAGCCCCTGGAGATTCTCAGTTCTAGACTGGGTGTTCCCCTGATACAGTGGTCCCACCTAGTGGCTGGAAAGGGGACTTCAGTTGGATGGACCCAACAAATGGGGTTATAGAAGAAGAAAGGTGAAGTTGCGGGTTGGGAGAGGAATTATTTGGACTCTATTGAAATAGAGTGAGCCCAGGAGAACGCCACCAGGAAAGGTGTCCTAGGAACCTGCTAGCAAAGCCAGGTTAGCCGTATAGGACCCTACCCCCTTTCAGAAAATGAGCAGGAGAGACCTGGGACTGCTGGCCCAGCCCCAGTGGGGAGCCCCCATCCTACCGCCCTTCAGGCTTACCACCTTTCCCTCTGCCACGGCAGTTTTCCCTCCCTTGGTGTTTTCTGTGTTCCCACCCCACCCCTCGCCATCCAGTGGACTAGGACCAGGTCCTGGCCACAGACAAATTGACCTGTCACTATTTTTCACTATTGTGAAAGTGGTTTGATTTAGAATTAAACAAATGGTTTTCTATCATGACGAGCTGTGGACTTCTTATCTGTGTCGCGGGGAGTGTCATGTGGCTCTGGCTTCTGGGAAGCATTGGTGAGTCCTCGGTCAGGCTACCGCACACAGCTGCGGACAACAAAAGGGGACAATTTGACTGGCTTTAGAGAAGCCCTGGAACACGAACCAGACTGGGAAAATGGCAGGTGAAGCCCTGCTAGACATTTGATATCCCTCTTAAAACACAAGAGCAACATAATATGTTGCATAGCAACCAGATCTCTGACTGGCTGAATCCATAGCACCGGTGTCCCACTCCAAGAGCCCACGCTCTGTGGACCTGGCCGTAGTCCGGGGAGGCCCTAGACAAGGTTTACTGTGCCTCTTCCGGGTCACCCACTCGAGACCCTCAGTCTGTGCTTTATCCCATTTTGGTTGGCATTGTGTTTTACCCACATGCTTTAGATTTGGGCTCTGTTCTGACTTTGCTTTCTTGGCCATAACTGAACTGGTTTGAACCTGTTTGAAGTCCTGCCAAGGTGTGGTGTGTGTGGCCTGACTGGCAGCCCAGGTCCCGACCAATGTATAGAATCCTAAACTTGCCTGTGACAGAGCCTTGGGGACAATTGTACCTTATTTGATTGCAGCATCTCCGTTTTCAGGAGTATGGCAGGTGAGTTCCAACTGAGCCCTCCCCTAGAATGGAGCCAGGATCATGCCTCTGGAAAGGAGCTTCTGTCTCTCCCTCTCGGACTTGGACCTGATCGTTGAATAGAGTCAAGGTAGAGTGGGAAGTCCTTGTCCTCAGAAATTCTGGAGCCAACTAGACGGGAACTAAGAAAACTTCCACTGGCCAATGGGCCAGTAAGGCCTCGAAATCCCCATCCCTCAGCCTTAGTGGCCATCTACCCACACCCTGTCTTCATGTTAGTACCACCCACATACTGCTGCTTTTGCTGCCCTGGATATTTTGACGCAAATCTCAGTCATATGTCTTCTCTAAGTATTTCAATGTGCATCACAAGGATTTGTCAAACATAATCAAAAAAATTTTTTTTACATATCTTAATAATATAAGGAGCCATGGTGGTGTAGTGGGCAATGCATTGAGCTGCCAACCCCAAGATCAGGGGTTTGAACTCACCATCTGCTCTGCAGAAGAAAGACGAGGCTGTCTACCCCCATACCTTTTTAAAGTCTTGGAAACGCATAGGGGCAATTCTTCTCCATCCTATAGGATAGCTATGAGTTGGAACCAACTTGATGGCAGTGTGTTTTTGAGGAACAGTAATATACCTAATCCTTGTTAAATGGTCCTGGTTGACTCGTAATCTCTTGGTGCAGTTTTTTTTTAAGTTGATTCAGATCAAATTCATGCATTGGTATTGCTCAAGTTTCTTCATGTGTAGGTTGTTCTTCCGTCTCTCTTCTTTTCCTTGAAGTTTTTTGCTTAAGGTGTCCAGGTAATTCTTCTTGTTGAGTTTTCCACAGCCTCATTTTTGCTATTGGTGAATCATAATGTTATTTCACAGGCTACTCTTCAC